ATGAAAAGCAAGACTTACCAAATATAATGCTATAATGGCTCCAAGCAAAAATCCGAATATGACGTCAACAGCATGGTGACGATATTGTTGTATCTCAGACAGACCACAAAGGTATGCCAACGTGATAGCTCCAATACACAAGAAAGGAGTGAGTAAACGTGATCCAGTGATTTTCAATAAAGACTGCATATACAGCTGTTTGGAAAATAGAAATCTGATGTGAATATAATGGCATTCCACTATGGCTGCTTTTGGTTGTTATTGGTTTTAAAGGAGGAGGGGTACCTACTGCATTCATTCTAGGTTGGATTTGAACTCTGACCTCTACATTTAAGTCTACATTGATCTGTTTAATCAGGGTTGGGATCACTACCTACTGCGTTTATTCTAGGTTGGATTTGAACTCTGACCTCTACATTTAAGTCTACATTGATCTGTTTAATCAGGGTTGGGATCACTACCTACTGCATTTATTCTCCGTTGGATTTGAACTCTGACCTCCATATTTAAGTCTACATTGATCTGTTTAATCAGGGTTGGGATCACTACCTACTGTGTTCATTCTAGTTTGGATTTGAACTCTGACCTGTACATTTAAGTCTACATTGATCTGTTTAATCAGGGTTTGGATCACTACCTACTGCGTTTATTCTCGGTTGGATTTGAACTCTGACCTCTACATTTAAGTCTACATTGATCTGTTTAATCAGGGTTGGGATCACTACCTACTGCGTTCATTCTAGTTTGGATTTGAACTCTGACCTCCATATTTAAGTCTACAATGATCTGTTTAATCAGGGTTGGGATCAGTAGCTACTGTGTTTATTCTAGGTTAGATTTGAACTCTGACAATATATAAGCACTCCCTGAGGATGTAATTAAAATAACATTAATACTTACAGCAATGAACATAGCAGAGTACATACTCAGAGATGAATACAGTGATGGGAAAGACAGTCTGTAATAGATGACATCAGTGATAAAATATAACATGTCTTATATCACATATGATTTACATAGCAACCAATACATAGCAACTAATACATAGCAGAGGTTGATGTACCCAATGTACTGGATACTACTGTACATCTTTCTGATCTAGCTGCTTTGTCTAAGATGGCCAGAATGAGTAGATATGAATAAAATATGTTATGATACCATGTGCAATACAATAAAATTACACAATGCTGCAACTAATCGAAATACAGTGATAGATGTAGAATTATTGTAATTAACATCCTATAATATGAATCCACAGATGGTTGGAATATTTAAATGTATAACAAATCTCTTAGAATTTCACTAAAATATAAATATTTGATACAAATCTATAGACAAAACAAACGTCAGAGTTGCATCTTTATTACTATTAAATATAATTGTGGCCGATCACGGCATTTATCCCGGCGTGAATCAAAATAGTACTCTCAAAAACTTCATGTATACACTGGCGACTTAATGTTACTTGAAATCAGATACGCGCACTTCTCATTACATTGTAGGTCCCATGCCTACTATTACACATAAAAGTAAGCGTAGTCCCTCATTACCAGACGCGTCCATCTTACAAGGTCATGAGTTCAAACTGCTGAATATTTAATTAAATATGGTTGCGTCAGTTTTAACAAACGTCCTGCTCATGTGAATCCAGATTGGATTCTTCAATTTAAGTTAGACCTCTGAAACAAACTTGTATCAACTTCATGTTAAACTGAGCGTAGCTTTCATTACATCACCAGCATTCCACAGTTTGTCCCCACGCTTACTTTTAAAAGTGAGCGCACTCAAGCTTTCCATTGTTTAGCTTGTTTGAAAGTGAGCGTATGCTCAACTCGTATCTTCGTGAAAACATAGACGCTCAGTTATCGCGCTCAACTACCACATAGAAACCTATTTACATACATGAATATTTTCACTAAAAAATGCTACAAGATGTTATTTTCTTAAAATCCACAGGTGGTTGGAATATATAAATTTATAAGCAAATCTCTTAGAATTTCACTAAAATATAAATACTTCATACAAATCCACAGATGAGATATTAATTAATTATAATGTTCATACCTTGCTTGATATATTTCATCAGTATTTCCTGTACATGCTGATTTAGCAGTGACAAATTGTGTACAGTCTATGACTGTGTAATTTGGTTGACACACTGTTAAAAAATATGGCGTAAGTTTACCACTCATTAACTGCCCAACATCATTCAATATCCATGTTAGAAATCCACCAAATGTAAACATTCCTGAAAACAAAGCAGAATTTATTTATCATCTCAAAGGCAAAAGTTATTCCCAGCATGCAAAAAAGAATGAATTTAGTATAATTATTTATTTGAAATTATGTGACTGTGTTTACAACTCATACTTGTGTGTTCACAAATAAACAATTTATATCCAGATACTGCAATGCATCATGGGAGCATTTGAATCTTGAAACTAAACTGACATAAACTAATGATAGCAATACTAGTAGAGCAACAGAATATCCAGATACTGCAATGCATCATGGGAGCATTTGTTTTTATAGCTGATTTGAATGAAAATTTCACATCCCATTATCACCACACTATTCATGTCATCTACAGTAAATAAGTTAGTTTATTGAATATCATACACTACATCAGTGCTTGCATGGATTCATGTCACCAGTAAAGATTTAATCATGCCGGTCACTGGTAGTATAGAGGTTGTGGCATCTGACTAATGATCTGAGACCCAAGTTCAAATCCTACCTTAAGCTAACACCGAAAAGGGACCAACCCTACCCAGGGTGAGTGTGCCACAGACTCAATGAGAAGGTCAATTCTACTGGGTGTGATTTATTCACTAATAAATGCAAGTTTAGGGGAACCTTAGGTTCGCAGGTGCTGGTGTTCAACCGAGCCTGGTTGAAGCCAGGATAGTGCATTAAATTGTCATTTATTACCAAACATGAATATGGCTTCCCTGGCTAAATCGTGTCAGTACTCACACTTGCAATTTGCACATAAAGTCTAAAGAGACAATGCCCTGAACTGTCACTCGGCACAGAAACATTTGAAAAAAATAAATAATCATTGACAGATTTATTCATGAAATCACATACCTATGAATCGTAATGTTCTTCTAATTTGTGGATGAATGTTACAGCCACAAGATTTCACAATTTTTTCTTCTTTATCAGAATCTTTAGATTTCAGTTGGTATACAGCTAGGCTGGACTCCCCAAATACAATCTACAGAGGGGAAAAACGAAACATGTTCAATAACGTGAATCATTTGTTTCAGCAATGTAGTAATTTGGTTTTGAGACTGACATTTATAGTATGGTTTGTTCAGGTTATTTATAAATCAATGTCAAATATCTATCAAGATTAAATTCTCATAACAACGTTTTGTGTTTAAAATGGCTGCCATAAGACATAAGTGTAGTAGACGTCAATGTGCCTACACTGTCCAATCACTTTATATTGACACGTTTAATTCAGTCACCTGGAATTAAACCATGTAACATGTTAACATACTTGATGGTTACAATTTTCCACAACACCAAGACCAACCAATGTAGAAAAAACACTAGGTTGACGTTTATTTATTTTGGTTTTATTAAATATTGGATGAATTTCACAAGAATACTGTAATAATTAAAAGGTACTGTACATTCTTGCATAAAGATTACCATAGATATTGGTTACCATAGCAACATCAAATATAATTCCATGGGAAACAATATATATTTGAGAGCAGTGGACTGTAAAATGGATGTTATTCAAATAACAAAGTGGACAATAAGATTGATAGATTAATGGCACAGCAGTAAACACAGTGGGTTTCCTTTAATCTACAAAAAGCTGCTGCAAACAAGAACAACATGTTACAGTTTAAGTATGGTTTCTTTTTGATTCTCTAAATTTATTTATTATAAATGCTGCCACTTTCAGAATTCAATACATGGTAAAAATACATATGATACATTGCAGTTCATTAATTTTTTAATATTGCTGTTTTTTACGATATGTCAATGAATATATTGAATCATTCAATCAAACAATGAAATTCACTAGTATGCATGTGTACTGGTTGTTTTGATATATACAATCATTGCACATGAATATTAGTGGTTCTGATTTTCTATAAAACAAATACAGTTGTGCATCCTAAAATTGCAACATTTTAGTTTATGATACATATAATTACTAATTCAATTTGGTCTACCCTAAAGTATAGAACAGCAATATTAAAATATCAATGTTTTCATCCATATTACATTTTTAGCAATTATATGGAAGATGACAACAATTACTTACCACAAAAAAAGGTAGTAGAAAAGACATGATGTACACCATCAACTTAGGAATGTGCAAATCTTCATCTTTGATGAACGGTTTCATCAGATTCTTGTCATGACACATAAACCCTTGTTCAGTGACATTTAATAGGTCAGTAAACTCAACAAAATACCAAAGAACAATAAATGCTGCCAGAAGAACACAATCCAAGAGTATAAAGCATGGTACAAGATAGTTATTGGTTGTTACATGCTGCACTTTTCGACTCATGGTTCAAATTTACAAAAGGTTTCTGAAAAACAAAAATAATAAATATTTATGAATCATATTGGGCAAATTCATTTCAGTGAATATTTTTCAAAATAATTTTGAAATTGATGTGACATCATTTATTGATTTCAAATATTAATCAAACTATTCAATGGAATAGTAGTTGTGGTAAAAGGGATCGATATACATTGGAATATATTCTGATCAGAGTTCTAAACAACTTATCATATGAGGTGTTAAGACAATTCTATATCTGAATACAAACTATATATATATATGTAATATAATCTACATCATACCCTGGATCTTAAAATACCAGCTATAGCTGCAGACCACTACTGTCACCATGGTAATTCTTGTAAGCTTACATTTCTGTACATGTTATACAAGTCATACATGTATGGTAGTATGAAAACATGAGAGCACAGTAGTGACATTATGACTGCCTGTGTTTCCAATTTACAACTCTGTTATATATGAAGTAATAGTCATACATGTATGGTAGTATGAAAACATGAGAGCACAGTAGTGACATTATGACTGCCTGTGTTTCCAATTTACAACTCTGTTATATATGAAGTAATAGTCATACATATATGGTAGTATGAAAACATGAGAGCACAGTAGTGACATTATGACTGTCTGTGTTTCCAATTTACAACTCTGTTATATATGAAGTAATAGTCATACATATATGGTAGTATGAAAACATGAGAGCATAGTAGTGACATTATGACTCTGTGTTTCCAATTTACAACTCTGTTATATATGAAGTAA